TATTTTTAAATAGGAGCGTCCCCAAATTTGATCAATTAGTGATGATTTTTTTTAGTTAGTATTTTCTTTATTTAATTTTCGGTTAGAATTTTTAATTTTTATTACTATCTAGATGTTAGTTGTTAATTAAGATTAATTATTAAGTAGGTTTGTCATTCGATTTTTTATTTTTATTTTTTTAACGTAGAAACCCACAGCCACTACCCACCCGCGGATGCCCAACCACCTCGAAGGAGCGGATGCCCGACCATTGTGAGTGCGTACTAGACCCAACTCCATGTGCAAAATTCGCAAAACACACTAGACAAGTTCGGTGCGACGGGCTCAACCGATGAAGTGTTGGCAGGGGATTCGAACTCGTGACATTTGGTCTCCACGTTCACATGCTCCACCAACTCTGCCACCCCCGATGAGGTTGTCATTAGATTCTTTTAGTTGTTGGAAAGGAGGGTTGTAGTCTTAATGCCAAAGGAGGTTGTTTTTTAATTGATATAAAATATTAATTGTTGAGATTTTCTCCAATTTATCGATCCAAAAGTGGTACTCAATAGAATCAACTATTTTGCAATTAAGATCGAGAATTCAGCATTCTCTGTGAAATCAACGAATATTTAATTCATAAATTCATGGCGTGCTTTTACTTTTTAGGTACTTCTTTCTATTCGTCATTATTTATCGCTTCCAACGCCCTACATCAATTACTCTTCTTGCTTTGTTACACGGATATATTTCAATCTAAAGAGCATACTTCTGATTTTTTTTTTTTCCTTCTTTAGCGTAAGTTTACCTCCTATTAATGAATTATAACTATTTATCTATACTAGTTTTTTTTTGTCGATAATTGATTCAAATGATAAAAGATTATGGACGCTCAAATACTGCTTTAGTTTGCAGAAGAAAATAAATTATTAGTGAATTTGAGGATAAAATCGGAAAAGCAAAGTCAATATTTAACTGTTTAGGTCAGCAGTATACTAGAAATTAATGAACACATTTTTCAACTTTAATCATTTAACAAGTAAAAAAACCCTTTTCTATTCTGACCAGGAAGACGAGCTATTGGAAAAACTTTAGGACATTCTCAATCACGGGAAGAAAGGTTTTAACTGATTGACCGAAAAGCCACGCTGCGGCAAATGCATCACTATAAGTCTTGTCCAAAAGCCATGTACATCATGAAGTATCACGAAAATTCTATGCGTATATTTGTTATATAACACTCGACACAATTAAACTAGGTTTTATAATAGACAAGATTTGAACTTTTTTTTCTTCTTTAATACTTTTCAATTCACCTTACACACAGGTTCAAAAGGTAATTTTACTATTTCTCCGGAGACGACTTTTCAACCCTAGATGCCGCAAACAACGCGGAGAGACCGAGAAACAGTGAAACATTGTTTGATTAGTGAAGATAAGGATATGTGAAAAGAAGAAAAAAAAATTGTAAATTCTAAGACTAACATCACTATCAAAATGAAAATGTTTTCTCAACATGGAACTATGAATTAGATTGTTCACATGGAAACTTGTCTAAGTTAGGTTGGTTTTGTCGGAGTTGGTGACTTTTGTTTTCATATAAAACATTCTTATCGACATCGGTTGGTAAAAGATTATAAATACGGAATCACAGATAACAGAAGAAAGAATTTATTAATATGGAGTATGATTGAAAATAATTGGCAGTATCATATTACGTGTCGACTATAAATTTATCTAAACATTCTTTTGTATCTGAATTTAAGATCGAGTATAAATAGGTATGGACAACATTTTCAAATTTCACATCTGGTATCCCACTCTTATGATTTATTTATATTGGGAGGACAATATGTTTTAGTGAGAATTCAAAGAACCATTAGGTGTAGACTACACTTATTATTGGTTGTCATCAATTTCACCTTATCAGCTATTATTAATGACATTTTGGTCTCTGATCGCTGATACAGAAGTTATTAGTGTCACTGACATTTCTATTTATTCTTTTTTTTTTTAAATAAATTATTGACTGACGAAGTCATTTTATTTCTCTATTTAAAATATTTAATTGAGGATAGTGTGAAAATAGTTAGCACGAAAATGAGAAGAAAATATTTTGTTAAAACTGTTAATTGCCTTGTATTTATTGGCAAATTTACAAGATCAAATATACAAAAGATAAAACTCATCCCTCCGTGGAGCTTCTTTCCCCTTCCTCCGGTGAAGGTTTCTTCTTGGTTCTTCGGTGCGCTTGTTGGGGAGGTGGGAGCTTAGGCTCCCGCTTCCTCTTTCCTTCTTCCCCTTTCTGTTTTTTTTTCCCCTTTTCCCCCTTTTTTTCCGGTTTCTCTTGTTGTTGCCCAGGGTTCGCCTTTTTGCTGCTGTGGATGGTGTTTTCTGGCGGCATTTGGGCGGGGTCGGTGGTGTGGTTGGCTGAGTTTTGGAGGTGGCGCTTGTGTGAGCTTCGGTTGGGAAGTGCGGCGAGCGTTTTTCCTTATTTTGCCTGTGGTTTCGCCGTTTTGCTGGCAGGATTTGGGCGGGGCGGTGGTGTGGTTGGCTTAGCTTTGATGGTGGTGCTCGAGCGTGCTGTCGTCTGTGGGGAGAGGCGAGCGAGGTTTGGCTAGATAGGGAGGCAGGCCTTGGTCGTTTCTGGCTTCATGTGGACGGAGCAGGTGGGGCGCTACTGTTGTGGGAGCTTCGTCGGCGGGCCGTTTTGGCTGGGTCTCCAGCGATGG